TCAATGAGCCTGCATGCGTGACGAATGAGTGCCCATGTAAGATCACCGAAGCCACGAAAAGTGGCAAGTGCAAAAGACTCAAATGAAAGTAAGCACGCTAGACACCACTCCACCCAGTATGCATATTAATCAGGGTGTTAAATGACACTATGTCCATCGGAACGGGGAAGACAACAGCCAGGTAAAACCCCCGGCAGTAAGACTACGTCGATCAAATCTCTGAATTCACATGAATCTCGGCCATATTGGGTAAGGAATACCTATACATGATTCCCTAAACAGGACACGGGAACAGGAACGCCCCACGCAAGTAATTAAGGTGGCTCTGCACATAATTCCAGGAAGGATACAAATTATCGTGTCGTAAACCGGACCCCTAGGCCCTTTCACTGCACTTAACACTAATCCTAATTTTAAACCAGCATCCGTTCTAGTGTAATTAATTGTTTCCACTCTGCATGCAGTCAGCAAATATGCAGAAACTTCCGAAACCGAAGATTTTTGTACGTTTATAATTGCTAACTAACGTCTTGAAGCGATTAAAATAACCCGAAATATGAAAGTTCATTTATTGTAAGCATATGCAGTAGACTTAAAGACTTCACGGTCGATATCATTTTTCTTCTTGCCAGAGGGGCCCCTAGCAGTCAATTTTTTAAATCATCAACATAATCCAGCTGAAGGGTTTATGGGATTCCGTTTAGATTGGCTATACGCTGTCCAATCAGCTAGGAGAAGAGATTCTAGAAGAGCCGAGCAACCTCCTCTCGAATCAATCACAACTGACAAGAATTCTACCGCTAAAGGCAAGGCGGAACGCTGTCGAACGCACACTCATAACATGCAGGATGGGAGGGGCACGCGCGTACTACTCTGTGAAGTGGACACATTATGGAACTAGGGGACATTTCCAAAAACTTTCAAAAAACACACCACAATAATATGGTGCTAGTTATGCCGACTTCAGAAGGTTTTAGGGGACGGTTAATGATATGGCAAATTGAAAAATCCAAAAGTACCCCCGGCAAAAGTTGCTTATACAGCTCCATTCATTTACCCCTAGTCCCAGCATGCTGTCGTGCAAAAACGGCGGTTATAAAGTTTTGTGGGGTGGGAAAATAGGATAGGCAAAGAAGGAAACTTTGAGAAGTAAGTGTGAAGTGAAAAAAATGTAGTCGAAGTTGCTTCCCGCGGCCACTGCAAGTAAGTTGTTTCCGCATGTAAATTGAAGGTGTGCGCGGCGCTTCGCGCCGCGGACTATACTAATCTGACTCCAGAACGGTAAT